TGAAAGCTGAAGCGTGTGATCCACTGGTTAGAGCATCAGGCCCTCCGCATGGAATCCACAGTGGGGGAAATACCACTCATTGCACTGGGTTTGCCACACAATTAGAAAATGATGCCATGGAGGCCTGGGACGTTGCCAGCAACTACCTCATAAGGGGACATCTTCCGAAGGGGACAGTTCATTTCACTTCTTAGTTCCCATGGTGAGGCTGTGGCATAGAAAACACATTAATCAGTGCTTCAAACTAACAGATTGGCTTGAAGATTACTTCTGCTGCCCATATTTATTAGTTTATAGAACTTAAGAAGAAAAAAAGCCCAACATTAACCTTAGCATTTTTTAAGGAAAAATTGGACAATATACACATAATGGAGAGAAGAAAGCTACATGGTAGTTAAAACTGCATTAAACAAGAATTCTCTAAGACACTTTCTTAATCATGGCTAATCCTGACTCATCTGTGATAAGGTCACACACACAGCTTTTTGGGTGCTGCCCTAGACCACAGAATCAGGATTTCCGAGGGAGAACCTGGGAATCTGCTCTCGGCAGACATGACCAGAGATTCTTATGGCATACGCATGTTTGGAAAACACTGTTCTAAGAGACATACCCATGGGACTGGGGAAAAGGCTCATGAAGGAGTTACATGAACATTTCTGGCTGCCAACAATAGCTTCTTCCCCTCCTTTCTTTAGGTGTTCCCTCACCATCAGAGCCTCTGTCGGTCCTTCCTCTAGCCTTATTCAACTCTGCTTCCCAAATAAATCACCCTTCACACCACTGACAGAGTGAACTTTATAAAACACACTGGAGGTCTGGCCTCTGATCAAAATCCATCACAATAGCGATTTCCTCCAGGGGGAAGGCTAGCAGATGCCTATGTGGAGAAGCACCTCAGTGGATGCCTTACTGTGAATATTCCACTTCTTGGGCTTCACTAGTGGGCACATGGATATATCTTTTTTTGATGTACAGAAGTAAATTAACAAATAATTAAGTAAGTAAAGAGAGCCATAACTGGACCAATTATAATAATGTCAATACAATTCTGTGACTTGAGGACAAAGTTAAATACATTTTTAGAAGGAAAGAAATAAGTATGTTACTATCTCTGGGTATTGAAAGTATGCTTTTCAATTTTTATTTTTCTCTGTATTTTTATAATATATTTTTTTTTATAATTAAAAAAAGATGATCACAAGTCCCCACCATGGCCCATGGGATGAAGTCCAAAGCGTTAGCATGACATTCAGATATCCATATCATCTAGTCCTTGCCTGACATCTGCCTTACTTCCCACCACTGAACAATCCTGAATCCCTTGCATTTTCTTGAATACTTGATGCTCTTTTGCTTCCCTTCCTTCTTTACCCCCTACATTAGTCAGGTTAATGCTAGGTCATGCTGAGGTAACAAAAACTCAGTAGATGAAAAAAAAAAAAAAAAAAGACTTATTTTGCACTCACTCTATATTAAGGGTCAGTGAGGGTTTGTTTTGTTTTTTTTGTTTTTGTTTTTGTTTTCTCTAGAGACAAAGATGGTAAATATGTTAGAATCCGTGAGCAACATACAGTTCCTGTTGCATAGTCTCTCTCTTGGCACAAATATATATATTACTGAGTGGCCAGATTATTATGATCTCTGAACACATTAATAATCTGGCCACTTAGTGTATATCCTATATAAAAAAGGCTAATATGCAAATCATCCCCTCGACCAGGAGAGCTTGACCATCAGGCAGTTTGGCCAACTGCCCATGTCCCCTCCCCCTGGCCAGGCTGATCAGACTCCACCCATGCACAAATTCATGCACTGGGCCTCTAATATATATGTGTGTGTGTGTGTGTGTGTGTGTGTGTGTGTGTGTGTATGTATTGAGTGGCCAGATTATTATGCATTCAGAGATCATAATAATCTGGCCACTCAGTGTATATGTAACACATATAAACTATTCTTATTGATAGATCATACAAAACAGGCCAGTGACTACTTGCTAATCTCTCCTCTCTGCGATAATTGCCAGAGACAGGCAGAAAGTGGAGAACTGCTCTAGTCATTTAGGAATCAGGCTAATGGAGCAGCCACTTCTTCCCATCATGTAGACAAAAAGAGTGGCTTATGCAAGTAGTTAAGTGCTCCAGTCTGCAAGTGGCACTCTTGTAACTTCTGCTCACAAATAATTGGTCAAAATTAATCTTTCAGTCCCACTCAGCCATGAGGAGGCCAGGACGTACAATCCTATCATGTGTCCAGCAGTAGGAAGAATTGAAATTGCTTGGTAAAAATGACAAATCTACTCAGCTTGAAGCCAAGTGCTCTAGAAAGCTTTTTCTGATTCCCTTTCCCCCAGCACATTAGCTGCTTTCCCCTTTAATCTTATAGCACTTGGAGCATCCTTGTGCTGTGCATAGGGTAGTGTAATTGCCACTTCTCTGCCTCCCCCACCAGATCCTGACTGAACTTCCTGGGCTTAGCACCTCCAAAGGTCTAGCACAGTGCCTGCCAGCCCTCCAGGGATGCTCAATGTATGTTCCTCCAACAAATAAATAAATGTGGTGGACTGTGGGAAGAATGGGATTGCCTATGTATTCACCTGGAGGCTTCTGAATCTCTCTAACTCCAGTTAGTTCAACCACACTAGACTCCACTCAAAAAGATACATATATCTTTTCGGTTATTCAGTTATTTTCTGTATTAATCAAATGCATTCATCCTTATAAACTATTCTTCTAAAAACCATCACTTTACAGAGAGCTGATACTTTGAGGCCACAGAGAACTTGGATACTTTGTGGTTTTCTTTTCACTTTACAGGTCAAAGGCAGACACAGAGATGCACAATGATTTTCCCAAGTTACACAGCCAATCAGAGTCAGAGCCAAAATTATGCTTCCCTTTGATTCAACAAAAAAGTTATGGAACTGAGCATAGAGCAGCAGCTAAATTCTCCAACAGTTTACTTATACCCTTAGGAGAGAAAGAAAGCATAATATATGTTTGTCAAAGATGCCTTGTTATAATATATCATACCAATGTTTTACTCATCATGCACATTTGTCTCTGAGTAAAATATTAGAAACAAGACACATGACTGTTTATTAACATTGTGTCTATTCGTAGTAAGGCCACAGTTCATTATAAGATGGTCTTTCAGAACCCCCAGAATACTGAAGGTGCTATGCACCTAAAGTTTTATCATCACACTGTAATGCCTAGTAAGTGAACAGCACCTCCATGCGTGTTCACTACTAAATGGCATAAAACTAGTTTGAAGTCAGTTTCACATGCAACATGTGTGTGGCTGCTGTACGTCTGTCTCAAACATGTAAACGTGGGGTGGGCAAAACAGCATTCAAAATGAGCTGCTGTGCAAGACTCCACCAATACATACATCGACTCAAGCCCTTTTCATGGGCATTAGTTACTATCTGGATAACCTCTGATCCTACCAAAGTGTATCCTTCTGGAAGTTTCCTATCCTCTTTGTCTCCTGGACAACAGTAAGTTGCTAATAAACATCCCACCTGACAACTAGCCTTGACAAATGCCGGGGAGAACCAGAACAAGGAGAATGCAGCTAGGTAGTGCCCACCACTTCCCATCTCAGTGACAGAATAGAGCCAGAGCACGATCCTATTGAAATCAGCAGGGTTTCAGCATTCCTGATAAAAACAACTTTTTGAAAAGCATAAACCCTTTATTTAAGAAGGTAAAATAGCTCGGGGTGCCCACCGTGTCTTGTTATGTCTAACAGATCACAGCAGGGGAACTGTGTAAGAAAACTCAAGCGCCCGAAAGGCATCTTAGGTGGGCTCAGTACTAGCCAGGCACAAAACAAGAATCAATTCTTTACAGAAGTCATGTCTTTACTCCTTCTTTCCTTCTTTGGGCCATGCCATTGATTAGTACAAACTACATCAAGAAGAGCAAACGTATGTGTCTCCCCTCTCCCAAATAAGAAAAAGTTAAGCTTCTCATTACAGGCCCTCCAACGATTATTTTTGTGCAATTAGCAATTAACTCCAGTGTTGATGAGAGGATGCAGAGCCGCCGTGACAATTTCCCTGGGTTTTTCGGTCTGGTTCTAAGCCACAAGGTGCACGATCTCACCCACACTCCACACACTTCAAGACACATTTAAAAAAAAAATTTTTTTTTTAAGCAAAAATGGCATCTCCGCGTGCAGTTGAGACAGACACCCCGAACCCCACATCAGGGCAGCCCAAAAGTTTGGACCCCTTTCTCTTCACCACTTTCACTCACGTGGGAAGAAGCAGAGGCCGGAGGAAGATGCTACCTGGCAGCCTCCCATTCCCAGTCTCTCTCTCTCTGGGGCGCAGGAGAGGGTGGCAGAGGGGTGATTACTCCCCCTCCCCCGCTGGAAGCTGCAAGCCGCGTTAGTGGAAAGGCAGTGGCAATAGCAGCTCTAGTTGCATCAGCATTAACTGCTGCTGCGGCTCCAGCTGCTGCTGCATTCCTGCCCGCGGCTGCAGGGAGGGCACAGTCAGCACGGACTGTAGGGAGCGCACGGCGGCTGCGGTGGCGGGTTCCCTGGATCAGGAAATTAGGACAGGCATCTAGGATTGGAGGCGCGCGGGCTGCCGGAGAGCCAACCAGCAGCCGCTCCGGGCACCCGTGAGCTCTGAGGGACGTGCGGAGCGCCGGGCCCCGGGAGCAGTCCCGGCGGCAGCGGCGGCCACGGTCAAGGCTACGGCTACGGCCGCGCATGCTGCCCGCCCGCATGCTCCCATTCACACACACACACTCACACCCCTTAGGAGACCGGCGCATCCATGAGAAAGGAGGGCTGAGCGCCTCTCCCCCCCGCCCCGCCGCCCCGCTGACCACTCCCCCCGGACCCCTCCTCGCTCCTCACCCCTAGCTCCGGCAGCGGGTGCTCGGCTGGCTGCTGGCCGCGGACTCAAGGACTCCTCTCTCTCTCTTCTGGCTTCTCCTCGGTTCTCCACTCCCCACCCCCTCTCCCTCCCTCCCTCCCCTTCTCTCCTGCACCCTCCCCTCCCCTGCCCTCCCCTCTCCTGCAGCGCCTGCATTATTTTCTGCCCACGGGCTCGGCTGGCGCTGCTGCTGCTGCAGCCCTGGGAGGTGGGTGGGTGGGTGGGAGGGAGGTTGGGTGGGCTGGCAGGTGGGGAGAAATTGTGCAAGTTGTAGGAGAGGGGGTGTCCTCTGCTCGCCAGCTCCCCCCCCCCAACCCCCTTCTAACTCCTTCCCCTCCTCCTCTCCCCTCCTCTCTCCCTGCCCCCAACTCCTTCCTCCTTTCCGAAAGGCTGGTAACTTGTTGTGTGGAGCAGGCGGCGGCGGCACCATCCGGGCGGGCACCATGGGCACGTCCGCGCTCTGGGCGCTCGGGCTGCTGCTGCTCGCGCTGTGCTGGGCGCCCGGGGAGAGCGACGCCACCGGAGCAGGTAAGTGGGGGATGCACCCCTCCTCCTCGGGCCGCCCCGGACCCCCCAGGGCTCCCCCAAGGCTCGGGGTCTCCTCCTTCTGCCCACTCCCCCTCCCCCTCCGAGGAGGCACCTCTCGGCTCTCCTCGCCTTTCCCCCCTCCCCGCCCTGGTGGCGCCTCTGAGCTGTCAGCGTCGCCGCCGCTGCCTCCGAGGAGAGCCGGGCTTGGGGGAGAGTGTGCGGTTTGGGGTGTCCTAAAGCCTCGCCTGAACTAGTCCCCAGTCCCTGACACTCCCTCCCGCGGCCTCGCCCCCTTTTCCAGCCCCGCTCAGAGTGGGGGCGAGGGGAACGTGGGCTCCGGAGCCCCTGAACAATGGTTCTGCCTCGCCTGCCGGGCGGAGCGTTGGGAGAGGAGGCAGAGGGCCCCCGGCGCGTGCCTCGGACTTCAGGGGGGCGGGGGCGTCTCTGGGGACCCGGCACCCCGCAGAGGGGCCCGGGGGCGGGGGGGGGGGGTCAGCCGGGGCTGCGATCCCTCCCCCGCGGCGCTGAGCGGGCGCTCGGTCGGTCGGCTGGCTGCAGCCCAGAGTCGCCCCGGACCTGCTCAATGTGCAGACCTGCGCGCCCGGGCTGCCTCCCCGGCGCCCGCCGGGCTGTCTCTCCCGAGTGCAGGTTAGAGGCTTGCCATGGGACTCCTCTCGAGGTGTTGCCCGCCTCTCCCCTGCCCACCCTGCTCCCGTGTGGGCGTTTGGGCACCTCGTGGGTCCCCCGTGTAGCTGGACGGGGGAGGGGAGGGGAACAAAGACTTAATCAGGTTAGTTTGCTGATCCTCGTTCCCGGCGAGATTTCCTGGGGGGAGGGGGGGGGACCGAGTCCTAATCGAGGGGCTGTAATGAGCCTTCGTCTTAAACAATGGATCAAAGGCGATCGCGGGAGAGCCGGCGTGTGGCTGGGAGGGCAGCGGTGACGGCTGTGGGGTCCCTGGGCCAGGGAGCCTGGTCTCAGCCACTCTCCCCACCCCACCGGGACGCACAACTTTCCTAGGCAAGAGACGTGAAGCCCCTCAGGGGACTCCACCGGAGCCCTGCAGTGATGATCTTGATGGGATCCCAAGGGGGCTTGCTCGCCAGCTCTTGGGGGTGAGGGGGGTGGGTGTTAGGACAGAAAGCTGCCCGGTCCTCAGTACCCATCTCAGAGTCCCCAGCTCGGGTTGCCCAGGGGCTTAGGAGACCTGCCTGCCTGCAGTCACGTGCCTCCTGAAGTGAGAGCGAACTTTCAAGTGTGCAGTCAGACAGCCTCTCTGGGGCACCGCTGGGTGGTTTTAAAGTCTCTGGACGCCCCCTGCCCTTTGGTTCCATTTGTCCCGGAGCCTGTGTGGAGCTGGGATGGGCCTGTCCGCGCGCGCTGTGATTAGCTGGCCGCAGGGTCACGTTTGGGCTGGTCACATGGCTCTGCAGACTCGCCCTGGAGCAGCCTGACCAGTGTTCTCTTTGAGGGAATGTAGAAACCCCACAGAATGTAGAGACCCACTGCTCTCGCAAATGCTGTCCCTGCCTGGCCTCCTCGGAAAGTGTCCTGAGCGTGGCCTCTGATGTGTGTCAAACCCGAGAGCCTGGAAAGCCCTGCTCACAAGTTTGCAGATCCCAACATTAATCATTAATGGATGAGCTGCACTAACTTATTAAGCCATTTTTCAGAAGAGTGCCATGACTTGCATTATACTTTTCACACCATTTCCAAGACTTAAAAAAAAAGTGCTAGAGCTTACTGATAACTGTCCCGGAAGGTAGGAGAAAGTATTCATTTTTACTCCCATGTTCTCCTTGCTGCATGGACTTCTCTTAAGTTAACACATTGGGGGTTAACCTGATCCTATAAAATGCTAGGAATGCACTTACATTGTTGAAAACAGTTACTGGAAGCCATATGTTCATCTGTATTGGGTAGGTGAGGACCCTTTGCTCCCTTAGGTCACATATGAAACATGTGACATGCCATGAACAGTGGAGAAGCCCCTGCAAGACTTAAATTCTTCAAAGGAAAGGAAGCACACACATCCTTCTGACCTCCTGGGAATTTGGAGTCTGCTGATATAGGTACTGACCCCAAGCCAACCCAGACTGGTCCTGTTTGAAGTTCAAAGTCCAAGGGCATGTAGGCTGACATATTGACATCTGGCCCTGGTCTCCTACACTTACCTGCCTGCTGCACCCACTTCCCAACACACACACACACACACCACACACAGACACACTCACACCACACACACCACACACACACACACACACTCACACACACACACACACACACACACACACACACTCACACACACACACACACACCACACACCACACACACTCATGCTGCTGGTCTAAAATACTCTAGGGTAGGGAAGGTGTGCACTAAGACCCTGGCAGGGGACTTAAAGCAGGCTAATGAGAGGAGTTAAAATCCAGTGGTGTGGTATACCTGCCTGCAAAATCCCCGGAGTTCTAGGACCTTTTCCTGCAGCCTATGGAGTTAAGACTAGGCTCTGGGTACCATACATTTGCTCAGACCAAAGCCCAGAAGAACAAAGGTTCTGTGAGAGCTATTCAGATATTGCTAGCAACTAGCAAGAGAGCACTTTTCTTACTGTGGGGGGCGGATTGGTGAAATGGCAGTAGTCATGGACCTGGAGGGATAGGAGACTAGAGGGCAAGAGGGAAATGAACCTGGTTCATCTGGTAGCACCAAGGGAAGGTGTGGGAATGGTCAGAACTCTCATCTGGGCCAAAGCGTGAGGACCTGAGCAGGGCTCTTTAAAGGAGGGTCGTCAGGCAAGCCCATATTGGTAGAGACAGCTTCTTGAGCAGCTTTGTTCCCCAAATCGCCCCAAACTGTGACATTCAATCAAGCACCTGTTCTGTGTCATTTTGATTTTTTGGTTTTATTGCCTGAGTCACAAGGTACCTAAAGCCAAGATCAGTGGAGCTGCCAAAAGTTAAGACTTTGGGACAACAAAACTGCACATGTTAGTCATGGCAGCCTCCATGGTCAAAGGAAGTGAAGGTCTGTTAGAAGTGTGACTGCCTTTTATACAGTTTTATGACCACAGACTCAGTTTCACTTGAGTAGTTTTTATAATTCTGGAACATTTGAAAAGTTCTGTTTTAGGAGGAGCAGCAAATTGATAAAATGTAGAGCATGGCCATAAGATCAAGGGAACAGATAGCTCCCAGCCACAAGGCTTTGGGTTTTGATCCAAGGACCAGAAGACTCAGAGCAGTGTGTGTATATATATATACACACACTCATTAACTCTCTAGACCACTTTCTATTTCTCACAGAATATGAATAACACTGTCCTTTCAATAGAGGGAGTAGTGATCAAGGCTAAGCAGTCACCTATATGATTTTGAGTCATCATTAAATTTACTCTGGATGCTGACTTTCCTTTGGAAAGCTGCCTTCACATACTAGTTTGTAATAAATTAAATGTGCCCGGTTGGTTCAGCTCAGTGAACTGAGTGTCATCTGCTGTACTAAGAGGTTGCTGGTTCGATTCCCCATCAGGGTACAAGTCTGGGTTGTGGGCTTGAACCCCAGTAGGATGTGTCTAGAAGGCAATCAATCGCAGTTTCTCTCCCAATGATGTTTCTATCTCTCCCCATCTCCCTTTCTCTTCCCTAAAATCAATAAAAATATATTTTTAAAAAGAAATTAAGTACCTCAGAGGACTATGGAAAGGTCTGTGATGATGCTTGTGATAAATGGACCTTGATGCATCTGCTCTCCAGATGGTTAGTTGATAGCCTCAAAATTGCTTAAGATGGTCTCTACTACTTCAAATTAATCTCAAAAGAGTACTTAGGCCACAGCACAGTGACTATTTTCAAGGCGACAAGTCCAAGAATCCCTTCTGCCGAGGGGATGGATTAGATGTACCGGTGAGCAGAGGTAAGTGGTCCAGAGGCAATTTCTTTGCCCAGCTAAAGAGTTTTTAGCTAGGAAACCTGAGGATATCTTTTCATAGAACTTCAAGGCAGAGTATGACTTAGCTCTAGGAAAATCTGGCTTTGGAAGTGAAAAATCGTCTCCATTTCACTCTGCACATTTTTCAGTTTGATTCAGCATCTCTTTGCTAAGCTCTCCTGTGGGTTTGCAATAAAAAATCTGGATATTGTTAATGCCACCTAGTTAGGTCTGCTAGGTGCACTGCAGGGTCTAATGAAATGGCAGGTGAAACCTTAAAGTTTGCACACTTTCCCCTTCATGGAAGTTCCCTAGGAAAGCCTGGGCCTGGTGGCTATTTTGGACTCTAAATTAAGCAAGAGGATGCCTGCTAGGTGCTGGGGGACAAAGTACAGATTCTACTTTTAAAAAATGGTGTCATGTCTGCTTAAGAATCCTTTGCCCACTCTGTATTTCAGAGATGCTACATGGGTGAGTGGAGTGGTATGGTGGGAGGGGCGGGAAGAGGGCAGGGAGGTTACACATGGCCTTATATTTAAGAGATACCATTGGGGGAAGACACTAAAGATTGGACCACTGGTTAGAATGGTTCATCTTGCCACCAAATTGGGTCATCCATGTTGGCCTTGCTGGCTAGTAGCTTTTGTGTACCCAGATGTGATATGAGGGATGGAGTGAGTCTTGCAGGCTGCCAAGCAAAGGGCGTGATAAAACCTTGGCAAAAGACAACTTTTGCAAGCTGCCTCTAATCTTTAATTTTCCTAAGAAGCCTTCCCAAGATCTGAGTTATTGACTGATCTACAGATTTACTAAGTAGGCGGTGGGCTGGTGCTGACCTTCTTTGTATCGTTTGAGCCCACTTTACCTCTAAAATACTGAGCACCTATCATATGGCACCAGGCATGGAGACCCTGTGACCAGGTGGTTGGTCCCTTCCTTTCTGGCGTTTAATCTAGTGGGGAAGGTAACCTAAGAAATCAATGATTCAAACACAGTGCGGAAGAGAAGCACTGGATAGAAGTGAGCAGACCATGTGCTTAAGTCTTAGTCCTAAAAGAGGCTGCCAGCAC